GAATAATATTTTAAAGGTGTACAATATTTTAACGGCGTATAATATTTTAAACAGAATGTGCTCCATTTCTGCTTACCCCCATTAACAAAAGCGCGAACGAAATAAAAGAAAAATATTGGATAGTCTTTTTCGAAGAAGAAAAATCGGCGAACAATGTTTCAATGTGAAGAAAGAGCGTGGCTGGCGTCACAGCACGTCGTTTTGCTTACGGTAACCCTTCACCCTCAGATTCGGCGAAAAGTTGGGCTAAAAAGTTGCATGAAAAATTTGCGTGTGATACCGCCTTTATTTTTTGTGTTAGAAATGCGCGTTATATATATATCGGATTTTACGATACTATTTTTAAAATGTTTTTCATTCTTTGTTTTTGTATCAGATACTTAAAATTCTGATTATTTTTGTATGTCTGTGTATAAAATCATGAAATAGATACCATTTTAGCTCTTAAATTCTTTACCTAAGTTATTAAATAATTTTTTATATTGCTTCAAAGTGAGACACAAATAAAATTATATGATATGTCGAAAGATTAAATTCTTGAAAATGCACAACTATAGTTAATATGAGACAGAGAATCAAATTTAAAATTAAGCTATTTCACTGCTGTTGTAAAAGCACCAATAAATAAATATTTAAACGCTTTCCATGGGATCAAGTGGCTGCGGTAGCTTTGTGGTTATGGTCACAGGCTCATGGCCGGTGTGTCATGAGTTCAAATCCTAACGCCAGCGAAGACCCACCGTGTAGAGAGCCTGATGCACGAAAAATCTGTCGAGGTTCAAAGTCCTCCTATTGGCGTAGTGGAGAAGTACGGAGGGGGGAGTCTAGGGACTACGTCAATCGAACTTTGCTCAAAATGACGTGGTCCGTCGCCGATAGCCCTGGATTTGCTTTATCGAGCGAAGTTAATAAATACTCCATATATGATTATATAATATTATCAATCAGTAGCTCACACAAAATTTTTTCAAGGGGGGGGGTCAATGGTTGAAAGTCCCCCAACTCGTATCATTACCTCAAGACAACACCAATTGATTCTTCTGATATTGTTAACAATAAACAGTAAAAAACAAATTATTGAATTAATAATTAGCATTAATTAATAAAATAAATTTAAAATTTACGGTACATATATATATATATATATATATGGGATAATCATCAGTCAAAAAAAACTCAAGGGCTTTGGGGTTCGGATCCCCAGGACCTTGTGTGCGCCACTGTTATCAATCATAGTACACATAAGTGAGAGTTTGCTTAACATAATTATTTAATGATTTTCATTGATTACGAATTCCATAAAAACCATTTTTATTTGAATCCAGCTCAGATACTTTTTCACATCCAAAACATTGCAGCTTTATCTTGCTTAAAGCATTTTTATTTGGATACCTAGAAATCAATTCTACCACCACTCATTTCAGAATACTTTTACCGTTTAGGAATTTTGCGTCAAAATCATAAAAGCATCTGATCAATAATCAGCCTTAAACATTTTATATATATACAAGAAAACAATGAACTCTCTTCCAGGATAAAACTTGCTTAGCAGACGAAGACGCCGTAAACGCCAGCTTAAAGCATTTAAAAGCCTTTTTAATATAAACTAATAAAACCGCTTTTGTTGGATGGTTAAGCGCTTTTCTCCTTCTTCTTTTTCTGCTCGCAATTGTGTGGGGTGTCATAAGCGAGTGATTTCATCTCAAGACATCCTCTGCAAGAAAAAAGAACACTTGTGTGGCTAGAATGACTTTTGGATCGAGCTCCGCGCGTTGGAAGAATTTGGTTTTATATAACAAGAATCACTTGGAAGTGGGTGCGTTAAATGTTCGAATTTTCTGCAGGAACGCCTCTGTAGAGGCCTCTGTGTTCACGAGAGAGAATCTGAGTCATCGTACAATTTCGGTCCACTTCTGCACGCACAATATTAGCTGGATATTTCGGTTTCAAAGAATAGGTATTTTCTTTTGGCTGTGGACGAAGGTTATCGACTCTTGCTACTTTAGAGTATTGGGTCTTGTAATAAAACATATTTACATAGAAAAAGTGCGGAATCTATTTCTCATTATCTTATATAAAGGAATAATTGCGGGGTTCACTCCCAAACAAATGTCGAGAATTTCATGCCAAACTAAGGGTTCAGAACATTATCTACAGGATTTTCTATCATCTCCTGCCGTTCTTAATGGGTCGTATTTAAAGTAGCATGGCTTGGACCAGTTTCTTATTTTATTATCTACTAGGGGGATACCCCCTATCCACCTAAAGGGGGATCAACCCCTTTGTACAAAAACTGTTCATACTCATTGCTCAAATTGTGAAACTGAAATTTACATGAATAATGTAATTCTATTTATTTGTTCTTTTTTTCACAAAATTTGCTCTTGGCGCTCCTCTTCAGTTAAATTTATCATTGAAGCTGCATCGTCCAGCACTTCATTGATAAAGTCCTCAGGTTTTGATAAACCCGAAGCCCTTGTAACTTCCTGGAAAGTTGAGTATTTAGTTCAGTTGACTGTTAATAAGTCTTCGTGTAAGACAACCAGTCAAGTCAATGATTCCAGTTCAGGCAATCGTTGCGATATTTTCTACGAGAGCTTGCACTATTGTACTATCGCAACCGTATTGGCTACAAAACATGAAATGAAGCACTTGGTTGCCGATTCAGCGTGTACGACACGTGCGAAATCAGGGTTGCCATCTTGGTGAGTCATCTTGAACCTTGGCATTGTTGCGGTAGTACATAATAAATTTGCTACAGAATCACGAAAAACTTTTTATATAGAGAGGGAAAAAATCTTCGGCAAAAAATGTTCATCTAATTTAGCAAGTGTAGGTCGCTAAGGAAATCATTACACTTAGTGTTTAGCAATTTACGCAATGGATATTAGAGAGAGGATGCAAAATAATGTTCCATTTTGCTTGAGTCTGTTTTCGCATAATGTTAAAGAATATGGCTCTAAAAAATACTTTTAGAAATAAAAATAGAAAGAAGAAAATATCCCGACAATATGTTAGTCTGAGTTATCATGTAAAGAACACACACACACAAAACATTTTATTCTACTATTTATTATTTTTACAATTATTCCATTTTTTTCAATTCCTTTAATTAGTTCCCTCTCTCTTTATATATATACTTCTCACAACTGGTCATTAAAATTGCTACACCAGGAATAAATGGAGATGACAAAATGATATTAATTGGACAAATATATTATACTGGAAATAAGAAGTGATTAAATTTTCAAGAAATTTGGGTTCATAGATCCTGAGAAATCAGTACCCAGTACAGTAATAACAGCACTTATACGCCTGGGCAATGAGTGAAACAGAGTAGGAATGGTATACACAGGTACAGATGCAGCTTCAACACGAGGTCACAGCTCATCAACAGTGGTGCCGAATGACTGGTGCGCATGGGGACGAGCCAGTCACTCAGCAACCATGGATCAGACGTTTTCTATGGGCGAGAGATCTGGAGAACGTGCAGGCCAGGGCAACAGCCGAACATTTTCCATATCAAGGAAGGTCCGTACAATACCTGCAACATGCGGTCGTGCATTATCCTTCTGAAAAACATAGTGTTTCGCAGGGCTCGAATAAAGGGTAGAGCCACGGGTTGTAACACACCAAAAATGTAATGTGCACTGTTTAAAGTGCCTTCAATGCGAACAAGAGGTGACCGAGACGTGTATCCAATAGCACCCCATACCTTCATGCTAGGTGATGGGCTGGTATGACGATGACGAATGCACGCTGCCAATGTGCGTACTTGATGCTGTAAACAGAACCTGGATTCATCTGAAAAAATGACGTCTCGCCACTCGGGCGTTCAGGTTCGTCGTTGATCACACTATTGAAGACGCTCCTGTCTGTGATGCAGCGTCAAGGGTAGCCGCAGCCATGATCTCTGAGCTGAGAGTCCATGCTTTTGTAAACGTCGTCGAAATGTTCGTGCAGACATTTGTTGTCTTGCAAACGACCCGAGTTCTTCACTCAGATCTCGTGACGTAGCTGCACGATTCACTAAAGTCATCCGGGTACAATGCCTGTTTTCTCGGCTGCTAGCGATAGGGGACCGTTCAGATCCAGTACGGCGTTCCGTATTACCGTCCTAAACCCATCGATTCCATATTCTCCTAACAGCCACTGGATCTCGACCGACGCGAGCAGCAATACTGCGATACGATAAACCGCAATCCCGATAAGCTACACAATTCGACCTTTATCAAAGTCAGGAACGTACTGGTACGCCTTTCTGCTTCTTACTCGAGGCTTGACAACAAATTTCCTCCAGTTAACAACGTTCAAATGCAATTTGTGTATGAGAAACCAGCTGAACAATGTCCTCATTTAAACATATTGTAGGTGTCGCTACCGGCGCCTGCTCTGTCTGAAAGCGCTGAAAAACTGATCATTTGCATACCACAGTACCTTCTTCTTGTCGCTTAAATTTCACGTCTGTAGCATGTCGCCTTCTTAATGTAGCAATTTTAATGGCCCCAGTGGTATGCACACACACACACACATATATATATATATGTGTGTGTGTGTGTGTGTTGTGTGTGTGTGTGGTGTGTGTGTGTGTGTGTGTGTGTGTGTGTGTGAGCAATGTTGATAATACTGTAGCATCCATTATTTTATATTTTTATATTTAACTCTATTATTTTAATTTTTCATATCTCCTTTTAAATTCTGTTGTCTGGTTAGCTTGCAATTTCAATCCTTTTCAGTTTTATTCATGTTTATTCATCTCTCTCTTGTCCAGAAATTTTGATTATATATATATTGTTCAAATTTTCAATCGTTAATAAAATACTTTCTTCTCATCCATTCAAGTTCAAATACACTTTTTAAAACATGTAGTAGATGACACACTTGATGTAAATACAGTTTTTTCTAATATCAATTCCTTAGTTAAATTAAAGAGTGAATAGTAACAAATAAAATTAATAGTCCTGCAGCATATATAAAAAAGAAAATCATTCCTCGGGTCTATGTAGAGCAATGGATAGCGCGTTGGACTACTCCTCCAAAGGTCGCACGTTCGAACCCTGCCTGGAATGGCCTAGTTTCTGAGAATGTGATTTCTTTTTTACTGTACTCTTTTATTAGAAGAATTAAATTTAATTAATATGAATAATCGGTAACAAACAAACAAAAAAATTAGTATAAAACACCATGTATAAAAAGAAAAATGGAAATTTTTTTTTTATTTGCGAGGAAAATCATTTTTTATTTTGTCACAGTACTGTGATTCTGTCGTGTAATTATATATTTATATTAGTTGCAATTATTTAATAAAAGTAACTAAAATAAAAACAAGTTTTGTTGACCTAAGTAGGAATTGACTAAGAAAATTTTTTTTATATTATTTCTGCAGTAAACGAGTTTCGTATTGGTATCCTATACTAGACAGTATCAACCGATCTCTCATCTTGCAAACTGAGGGAGAATATCGCTACTCATAGGCTATATCTAACTTTTAGAGACTGGTATTATAAACAACATCACACAAATTAAATTACGAAATCGCGAACTTACATGACTATTAGGGACATTTTCACGGCTTGTAATGTGTTCTGGCTTAGGTTCTTTGACATTGCTAAGATAAAAATCATTCACAGAGCACTTACAGTTCTAAGCTATCCCTAAAACAAAACAAAAAGTATATCCATTGGCTTAATGTTCCTTGATAAGGATATATTTGCTTTTATCGCATCTTCATACCCAACTACGAAAGCACATTATCTTATAAAATATCACGAAAGTGCCACTTAAACGTTCTGCAAATTACGATTTCAGCTGCCTCTTCCCTTTCTTTTTTCACTGCGGGCATTCCAAAAATCCGATATATATGTCGAACGTGTTCCATTCGAAAAACAATTGCTTTCAATCATGCTATGCCATTTTTGCAACTATCGAACTCATTAATCTGCGTCTATTGCTGCCAAAGGCCCCGGATTAAGAGAAAGGAAGAGTTAAGAAACAATGAAGGAAATTGGGCACACGAACTCGCGTGCTGATGGAACGCGAGGAATGGATTTGAGGAAGGTTTCGTTTGGTGGCACGTGACGAATCCTGTCGGACACCCCCGGAGCACCTATTAGGGAAGGATTAGAAAGGCCATCGATCATGTGGTTTCAACACCTGAGGTGATCAGCCAATAAGGTCGATAACGAAAGAGAGAAAAAAAGGACAGTGGTAAGGTTTATCAGAGTTCAAGAGTTGGGAAGTGTACTCTGTTTAAAAGTCATCTCATGTAAAATGTATTTAAAGGGTTTGGTGATGTTGAATTCTTATGGTTTTCGAAAGAAAACAGGGGGCATACAAATTAATGTTCTAGTTTGTAAAATTTCTTGCCTAACCCGAAATATCATGAAGCAATAGTAAAAAATAATTGTATAAAAATAAATAAATAAATAAATTTTATAATTCGAAAAAAGCATCGTTCATAACTACTTTTTCCATCCTGAAATTGTCTTAATTGTCTTTTACCAGCATTCATTTGTCGCGATATTAGATACTAAATCAACGGTTGAAATTCATTTTATTAAAAAAAATGTTTAAAAGATTTAAAATATATTTTTAAAGATTTAATATGTAATTAAATATGTAATTAAAGATTTAAAATATGTACTGTTTGGAAAAAATACTTAATTGTACTTAATTATTTTTAAAAATTTATTTTTTACGCGAATGCTTGTTTCTAATTTTTTTTAACGGTTTCGCATATCCCCATGTATTTTAGGGCATTAAATTATGCTGGAATCTATAATGTTAGCCACATCCGGTATAGTGGTTAGCGATGCTGACTGCTGTGCCGTAGGGCCTGGGTTCGAATCCCGGAGAAGGCATTGATGTTTGTAAATGTATAGTGCCTTCGCGGCATGGGGGTAGTCTTCTTCTCTAAATAGCCGTCGAGTCGCAAGTCCTCTCGTGAAGTTGGTGGAAGGCCCCTGACCACTCCCAAGGTGTTCTCCCTCAAAATTGGGGCGGAACCGAGCCAAATCGTACTGTCACCTCATGGTGCTCAAAGCTACGGCTAACTACAGGCGTACAATCTAGCCCGATACAATGATGAATTTCGTGGGCCTCGCTCTGACTACGTCAGACAGGTGGCATTAGTAACAACAACAATATAATAAGTTTTGTCTGTAATTTCGTTAAAGTATTTGAAATTGTGGCTTTCTAAAACTATCTTTATATTCATAGTAGATAAGCTACCTTATGCTTTAATCGAATAGGCTAGATGATAGTTATATAAAGAGTATTGTTAACTTCATACGCATTTCCAACTAAATTCAAGTTTTGTAAAGTACATTTGATTATTTATTATATTTGATACTTTATAAACTTAAGTGTGTTTATTTTTAATGTTGTTTCGGAGGGTTTGAACTAGCAAGGATATTTTGAATTGTCCCTTTGCTGTTATATTTATGCAATTTGTATAGATAACAGGAGTATGTGAAATTTTAATAAAAACCACGGTATATTATTATTTTGATTTAAAATATCTTTGTAAGCAGTTTGGATGTATTACAAATTCCGGTTTAAGCATTTACAGCGGGAGTGAGTTGCATTTCCTTCGTACATTCCTTTTTTAGTTTCGACTATTCAGAGTGAATATTAGCTTTGTCATGTTTAATCCCAAAAGTGACCGTGGTAGCTTAGGGGTTATGATCACGAACTTGTGGCTGGAGCCTCACGGGTTCGAGTCTTGATACCACTAGAGACGGCTGCATGTTAAATCCCGTTCCTGTGGAGTGGTAGTTAGGAGAAAGGCATGCCAGCTCTGGTGTCATCCTCATCCCTTGACTGAGGTCCATTGATCGAATACATTGCCAATAGCCCTGGTGCGAGGTTGATTTTACTCTTACTCACTTCCCAAAGTTCATGTAACAGTTCAACGCTCGTTATCTTTATAACTCGGGGAGGGAAAGAAGGTCCACCTCACTCCCTAGAGCCTCTTCTTCAACCCTTTTTCTTTTGTTCTAAATTATTTTTGTTTCAATCCATTCTTCAGTTGACAAATAAAAACAAAAAAATTCAATTTTATCCCATTCCATCCTGTTGTCCCGGGGCAGTGTGTCTGCACGCGCCGAACGCGATGCTGATGTCTCGTTCTCGGCCATTAAACCACTTTTTAAAAAAAAGGTTGACGGGTCAAAACAATCAGGTGGTAAGAAAATAGCACCTCTAACGATGTATCAATAGCAGCCATTTTTCTTGTCTTTCAAAAATAAAAAAAAAATTTTACGGTTGAAAGAAACCGTTTAAAGTAAGTTTACAGAGAGACAGAGCTTTGTTGGCGGTTCGCTTATTTCATGCTTCATTTGAAGTAGATACTGCTTTCGGTTGAGATAATCGATATTCAGTGACAAATTTAATCGTCATCGTGTTCACTCGCCAAATGAAGCAGCAGGTCGGCTGTAAGAGATTTTCGGAAAAGAGTCGCTGTTTTCAACTAGTGAATGAGTAGAGCTCTTGTAACTCGAAAGTAAATCGAATACTTTTTTATAGAAAAAAATAATGTATATTTAAAATATTATTTTCAAAGAATTCAGCAGTGGAAAATCATCTTTCTCTTTAAATATTCTCGTGGTAGGTTGATCATTTTAGAAGCGACCTTTGAAGATTTTTTGTTCCAAACACAAAATTAATTAAAATTCCCTACGAAGAAATATGTTGCCGCGATACTTTAGTGGTTATGATCAAGAACACGTGGCTGTAGTATCACGATCTCGAGTCCTAGAGCCTCTTGATAAGCCGTCATGTTGAGGGGAGCGCGATGCACGTTAAATCTGTCGAGGCTCAACGTTCTCCCGTTAGTGCAATGTGGTAGTTAGGTGAGGGGGTGCTAGCTCAGGTGTCGTCATCGTCCCTTGACCGACACTCAAAAGGACGAGGACCAACAACCTTTGTGTTGTTTTATTGTGCGATGCTCTTTACGAAGAAATATATATGGATAGGTTTCCTTTATTTGAACTCAAACTTGATCTTATTTGTGTTTCGCATTTGGCAACAGTCTCCATGACATTTTATTTGAAAATGAAAACTATATTTGTGTGCTTTGGGATAATAGCCTTTGTCGCTCCATATCCCACAAAAATAATAACTGTAATTGTACCTGTACGTGTGTGCTTTCAAATAAATAATGAAAAAAAAAATAACAAATTTACAACGTAAAGGCTTAAACGATATTGAATTTTGCTCCTAAATAAGTCTATTCTTCATTTTAAGTTTATTTCTGTCAGTTTTAACTGTCTAATTCGTGTAGAAAATGAAACAAAAACAAAATTTAGCAACGAACTTAAATCATCTGTTAAAAAATACCACCATTTAATTTTAATATAACCAAAAGACAAAAAAATTCCCAGTGGTTTTTTTTATTTTAAATTAATAAAGCCCTTATTATACGACTCTAATTTCATCAATTGTTTTCCAAATTTACTCTTTTTGATTTATAAATTTTAGCTCTCTTTCACTGTATAATAAAACTAATTTAACAGGGATGGAGAATATATGATATCTTCCAATTGAGGATATTTTGTTGCCATACTAGAGTTTAATTAGTAGAGGAGAGTAAAGTCTAACTTGAAAGTTTTTTCTTCCCTCAGTGGCGTCCAAGTACCGAAGAGAACAATTTTTATTAAATAGCGACAAAAGACCATGTGTTCCTAAAGATTTAATCATTATAAATAATTACTTCCGAAACCTAATTGCATATTAGGATATCCACGTTACTGATACGATATCTACGATACCGTTTACATATATCACCGTTTATTATTTACATAAGTATTTTGATGTATAAAGATGTTGTGTAAACACATTGGCAAATGATAACTAGATTGAAGGTTTTCGGTACTGTCATGTCTCTAAAACATTTTCAAATTTCCGACATCTAAATTTTATGATTCTGTTGTTGGAAAATGCCACATTTTCGATGTTTTTTGAAAGGAGGTCAAACATGTTTTATTACTTTATAGTGCTCTTGAAGAAAGACTCAATCTGAAAAAAAAAAAAAAAAAGCTGAGCTCTATTCAATGCCCTTGGAGTACAA